AATGGTGTGGAACATCTTAAATGTTAATATACCCATTAAGTAGGCTAACGCTTCCATTGTCCACGACTAGCCATCCCTTGCTGGATGATTCAATTTTCGGAATATCTCGGATGGGGAAAGGCAAACACTGAAAAATCCATTTGATCACTACTGTATATGCTCCTGAGAACAGTGGAATCGGTGATCTAGCGTCACCTAATGAGCGCTAAATATCGTGAATCTTGAAAACCTCCGGCTTTCTAGTATTTTGATGAAAAGAATCGAGCGTCATACTATCGGAATGGTTTCCAAACAACAATCACTGAGTGGCAATATGAGAGGAAACTTGAATTAACGATATCACCAAAAGTGCAGCGGACAAACCCTGCTGTCGAAAAACAAAAGTTGATTCCTGAAAATTAGCACCGAATTCGGTGGAGGTTAATAGATATTCTTGCATCAACTCAGTTATTGAATATTTCTATTTTTCTGCTGTCATAGAATCGGTAAATACGGTAAAGAGAACCACTGTGCTCATCTTCCGCAGATCACGTTGTTCGTGGCATGTGCTACGATTGTCCCCAACTACATTGCCACGGCGCGAGATGTTTGCCGAGGCAGATGATGGGTGGAAAAAGTCAATTGCGGTCAAATTAACAGCCAGCACGAGGGTATGAAGAACTAGTCCACCAGACTCGGTCATATCGGTTCCTTTGGGAATCCTGGATGCGGACCTCGGGATCAGCGTAACCCATGGTCAGAAACACTACATGACATGGCTGTCGCAAAACAGTGGCGCTCGAGCGTCTTAACCTGTTTGCAACCTTGGTCTACATGAATCCCTTATTTTTACCTTGGTTCTTCTTCCAACATTATAATCTTCCTTCTACTCTTTTATTCAAATGGACAACCAAACTGCCGCACGAAGATGCGTGGCTAATGATCGTTAGAGGAAACTGAACTGATTACGTTCTGATTATCGACGCTGGATGAAAAATCGAACCTTCGAGATTTTTGGGAGCATTGAAAAACAGGAGACTGATACTCACCTGAATAGTACCACGAAACCCACGGAAGTTGGGTATCATAGGCAACGGGGAATCGCCATTCAGCAGCCGATAGAGATTAGCTATCACTTCAAGCACACTGTAATTAGGGATGCGGGTGGCATAACCCGTTCCGATTCCATCGGCACCGTTGACCAGTATCATCGGGATGATCGGACAATACCATTCTGGTTCGATCCGTTGGTTATCATCTCGTAAATAAGTTAATATCGGATCATCAGCCGGATGAAAAATCAGACGAGTTAGCGGGCTCAGTGCAGTAAAAATGTAACGAGCCGAGGCGGCATCCTTACCGCCACAAAGACGTGTACCGAACTGACCGATGGGTAGCAGCAGATTTAGATTATTTGAACCTGTATGGAAACAACAAAGAGACCGTTTGAACGGACGAAGAGCACCAAATTTCAAAGTGCCGGACCATGAATGAGCCACATCATCATCATTGTACAGCGTAATACAGTGAAGCGAACTTCACTGATCGCTGCCAAACTCATAATGCATACAAGATAAGTGAGAATGTATGAGGACAGGGATTGGGACGATTTTTAGGGACGGGAAAAGAAAGCGAACCTCTATAGTCAACACACAGAGTACACAGCTCAAATGTGCATACATACTAGTTCAAGCATTCTGGACTGATAAGAAGTGACAGCATAATCGCAACTGCTGACGGTTCGCGCCCATGATTTTCAATGTCTCCAACCATGCAGTTTCGGAGTCTTTTGGACCCCAACCCGTAAGGCGAGAGACACCTACTCTATTTAATCTCTCTGTACATTTATTTATGCTTCGTCTCTACGTCATCTGCTGGCCTCCACGTGGCTTTCGCCAGTCTGTAGCAGCCACTGCGAACATGGCGCGCTGCGGTAGGCGACCGTCGGACATATGCAAAACGTGTCCTAACCAACGGAGCCTATTGAGCTGTATTCGATACGATAGCGAGTTCTTGTATTTCCAAACACCCGACGACTTCTAAGTTACTAACCCGCTCACTCTATCTCACTTGGGCCAGACTACGTCGAACACAGCGAAACGACGGATTTCTACCCGCAAGTTCAAGGTCTCAACTGT